TTTCATTTATTCTATTGCCGCCCCTTATACCTCTTTCTATGTAGTCCCCCAATACACAGTCATATCCAGTGACATTAGACATGATTCTGTTGCTCATTCTTAGACTTGATTACACCCTCCCCTCATTTCCATTACAATTTGTTTTGTTTATCTATTTTTTCTGCTCTCCCTCTCTCTCACCTCCCCTGACACAAAGTTCACAGAATATATCACTGTATTTTTTTATTTTTATTTTTTTTTTCATTTACTATTATTTTATTTGTTTATTTATCATTATGTCTGTCTGTCTGTCTGTCTGCCTCTCTCTGTCTCTGTCTCTCTCTCTCACACACACACACACACACACACACACACACACACACAATCCACCAAATTGCACAACCCAACTCTAAACTCCCCACCCAGTCCCATGCCCTTTGATGCTCTGTCTGTCTGTCTGTCTGTCTGTCTGTCTGAGGTGCAAAATGTCCAGCTCATGCTTTCAGCAGAGCTTCTCCATCAAACTTTTAAACAATTCTGCTTGAGACGGAAGATTGCGCAATCATTTTTATAGTGCTTTAATTATGGTGATCTTATAGCATGTGTTATGTATGCATGGCATATGTATGTGTTATGTGCAATGTTATGGGATATGTGGAATACTGTCATGTAATTGCTGTTGGGATGGAATGGCTATTGATGTATTGTTTGTTGGCCTTGGGGTTGTCAAGGCATTTATGGCACAGTTGCTGAGTCCAAGACAAATTTCCCTTAGTGGGACAATAAAGTATATTGTATCGTACAGCTTTGGGGAAGAAGCTGTTTTTAAGTCTTTCTGTCCGTGCCCTCATGACCCTGAGCCTGCCAGAGGGGAGGGTGTCAAAAAGACATTGCCCCCTTTTACAATGCCAGATTTTCCGCTAATGTCGGGCCGTTTTGCTGGCAAGCTGCAAGCGTTTATACACACAGAGCCGGATTGGCGAGTTGATCCGAGGTGCCCAATTTTCCGCTTCATAGGGTAGACATGGGTGATCTTTTCGGCTCTGTTTCTCAGCCGGGCAGAGTGGATTTGTCCCAAGGATGGAAGAGGGGTACCAATGACCTTCAATGCAGCTTTGATGACTTTCTATGGTGCACTGGTAGAAGTTGGTGAGGAGTTTCTGTGGAAGCCCAGTTTTTCCTGAGGGACCGCAGGAAGAGTCTCTGCTGGGCCTTCATCACCACTTCTCTGGTGTTCATTCCCCATGTCAGGTCCCCTGAGAGATGAACACCAAGGTACTTGAAGCTCCCCACCTGTTCCACCTCTTCCCCAGTGATCACCAGACTGGCATGTGTTGTGTCCTTGTGTCTCCAGAAGTCAATGACGAGCCCCTGTGTCTTGTTGGAGTTGAGGAGCAAGTCATTGTTCTGACACCAGGATGTCAAGGCCTGGATCTTCTCTCTGTAGGCTGCCTCATCATTGTTGGTTATTAACCCCACCACGGCTATGTCATCTGCGAACTTGTATGTGTAGTTTGTGTTATGAATGGGAGTGCAGTCGTGTGTGAAAAGTGAGTATAAGAGTGTACTGAGAACATAGCCTTGGGGGGTGCCGGTGTTGAGGATGGTGTTAGAGGAGATGAGGTCTCCAAGTCTCATGTGCTGTGGTCTGTTGGAGACGAAGTCCTTAATCCAGCTGCAGAGGTGATGGTCCAGGCCCAGGAGAAGAAGGTGTTCAGCTGATCAAGGAGGGAGGGGTCAACTGTAGAGGGTGGGCGGGGGTTTTGTTTGTAGTTCCCCTGCCACATACTGCGATTGTTATTGTCCTTGAAATGCTTTTCAATTTGCATTTTATATTTTCTCTTGGCAGCAGTAATCCCCCTTCTCAAATCCGCCATGGATCTCCTGTAGGCCATCCTGCCACCTGATCGCAGCGCTACGTTCCTGGTTTTCATTAGGGTTTAGACAGTGCTGCTGAACCAGGGATTTTGGTTTTGAGACACTCTGATGTGTTTGGTTTTGGTGGAGCTCTCAACACAGAACCTGATGTAATCCAGTACTGTGGAGGTGTATTGCTCTGTGTCTCCATGATCAAAGAGCTCCCACCTTGTGTCCTCAAAGCAGTCCTGTAGTGCTGCCTCAGTCTCCTCCGACCAGATCTGAAGGGTCCTGACCTGGCTCTTTGTTTTGCTAAAGAGAGGCAAAACAATGTTGGTATGTAGGTGTTAAGAACAGAGCCAAGTGGTCTGACTGTCCGAGGTGGGGGACTGGGCGAACTTTGTAGACACCTGTGAAGTTACTGTAAACCTGGGCCAGTGTTTTTCCATTCTGTGTTCCCATGTGGATGTTTTTGTGGAATTTGGGTAACACAGACTTCAGGTTTGTGTGATTTGCCATCTATATCTAGAAAACTCAAAGCCAAACCCTCTTCAGTGTAATTGGCAGAGAATTTTGAGAAGCACGGTACAGGGACTTCACTTGGGTTTTGAGGAGCTGCAGTTTTTATTCATGGACAAACTTAAACCTACAATGTACATTTACTACCACCTAACAACTTAACTGTTTGAGTTTACTCTGCTTGTATCACCAACACCTGTGTGCTCTGAGCTCATCCACTGTCACTCTCCTGTCTTTCACTCCACCACATACTCACTATGCACACATTACCCTGATCTTACAACAATGTATGTGCATAAAATATGTAAATGTGGACTGCACTTTAACCCAGCCTTGGCTATTTTCACTCATTAATACGGTGAGCATCAAAGCTAGTGCAAGTTGTTTTCTCCATCTTCTCTCATTTCTATATGCCACTTGGAGCAAAGGGTAGCGTGTGTGCACATGAGGCCCACAGGGCCAGCTGTTTCTGAGTCTGTGGTTGATTGCGTAGCGATACATCAATGCGTCAGTGATGTTGATAGGTTTTCAATGCAGTAAGTCCCGGGACCCACTGGTGTTCATCTGAGTGGGTCGCCAATAAAAGTTCTGTTTTTATTTTTATTTTCTTTTTTTTTTGACAAATTGTACAGTTAAATTGGTGTTGAATGTTATATGGTTCTAATTATGGTTATATTCATGTATGTTGAAAAACAAAACATGCAAATGTCACATCTTGAGTATAGCAAGCACCAAAATCATCATGTAGGCCTAAATCAATTGTGCCAGGACTGTAATATGTGATAATCCCTAACAGTTAAAATAAGATACTGTATAAATTTAATGGTATAACAGTTTAAAAGATAATCTTCATAAAAGAGTTTTATGTTTTCCTTTCACTTGAGACAGCTTCTTTCCTAAGGCCACTCACACCTTAATCAACATACAAAGTGAACAGTCATACTGCACTCTCACAACAACACTCTCACTATATTTTATTTCTACAAGGCAATAACTACTGGGACTTGTGCAATAACTTCTGTGGACTGGGCAAGCAGCTGATTCTGGCACTTTATATTTATTGGCTCTGGCACTTTAAAACTACCTCTTTTATATCATGTGCTGTGTGGTTTTTGCAGTGTGCTTAATTGTTTTAATACTGTATGCAATGTGCCCTTTTTTCTTTTTAATTCTAATTTTAATTCTAACCCTTATGAACAAACAGGATCTTGTCATCTTGTGCGATATATACAATATACAGGGCAGGAAAATGTCTGCGGTAATTATCTTTTTTTCAACACACAGGGTATCCCTTGGACAGTAAAGCACCATCAGGTCATCATCGTTATGAGTGAGTAGCATCTGCTGTTATACGTGAATTCAGGTATATTGTAATAGTCTAAAAATTGAAGGTTATTTTGTAATGGTGGTCCACTGGAACTCCGTGCTGTAGCATATGGAGCCTCAGAGAGCCGGGGATGATGGCAGAAGGGCAGGTATTGGATCTGTGCAGCACACTGGAGCAAAAGCACCGACACATATCAGACAGTATTATAAAAACAACTATAACACAAGTTTCACTCTCAGTGCCTTCTGTGACATGAGAAATAGGCTACTTTCTGAACTAGTAGAGTCTCGCAACGCCAATGATTGCCACAGAGTTTTAATGGGTGCGTCTTAAGGACGGATCAATAGTGAGTTTACTGCGTCCTTCAGATCTTAATGCATCAGGGACACAGGATGCATACCAAGCAACATCATTGATGCTTTTGGGATCTGAAAGTTGCATTCTTTTATTATGATCTGAACTGGATTAATCATTCAGTCATACTGCATGTGTGTGTGTTTATTTCCATCACACCACAGGTAAAAGATATAAGATATAAGTAAACTGTAAAACAACTGTGAAACAAGGCTGACAAGTGTGAACTTAAGATCATGACTCTGAAATCAGCAGCTGATCTCTCTGTTTTGCTGGGATCTGGTAGGCATAGGGTTGCTTATTAGCATAAATCAAAAATATTTATCAAGGGGTGCCGGTAGCGTAGTGGATAGTACCGGCGCCCCATGTACAGAGGCAATGCCTCGCTGCAGCGGTCGCAGGTTCAACTCCGGCTTCCAACCCTTTGCTGCATGTCAACCCCCACTCTCTCTCACCCCATTTCAATATGTCCTGTCCATTAAAGGCAAAAAGCCCCCCCCCCCCAAAAAAAAAACAATCTTTAAAAACAAACAAACAAAAAAAAAAGTATCAATATTGATATCATTATTTATTAACATTAATAAAAATGGGGTAGCACCCTAGAATTAAGGGTCAAAATCCAAACTGTGAATGCAGTCACAAAAATAGGTGCTCAGTTATAAAAGTCAATATTTAATAACTATTGCACATTTCTAAGTTGAACAGTGAAGGGCTGAATTTGAGCACTGACCTTCACAACCAGCTGTTATTACAAGAAAATATACACAAATAATCATAGGCAACTGCTCTTTAAAATACAGTAGAGTTAATCTAACTTCAGCGATAAAGACCAATAATCACTAAAACTTTCATTAATAAACATCTATTATCTAACTATGAATAACAACCAACATTACATTCTTGTGCACATGAATGAGAACATGTCTTTTGTACACCAGAGAGAAACACAGACAGCACAACTTACTCCACTATGGCCTCTCGGTCAGCGATGTCTCCAAGCACCATGCGCTGGATGATGCTGTTGTGTTCCTCCTCAGATAGGTTCTTGTGGGAGACCAGGGGAGTATTGTACTTGGTGGCTGGGGAAGGGTCTACCCCCTGCAGCCAGGCATGGCTCTCAATCTCCTCCAGGGAGGCCCGTCGCTTAGGATCCCTCTGAAGCATACGGTCTATCAGACTAAAGCCATGACGAGAAGACAGTAAAAGGGATAGGAGGAGAGAAGAGATAAAGGAGAAAGAGCACAAACCTCAAATTAATCTGAATTCACAAGAAACAGAATTCCTGTAAAATGAGTACATATTATCGGTTTCACTGATTTAAGTGCGACAAGGGATGTGGTCTGCAATAGACATTTGGTTTTGGTTGATACTGGCAGCTTGATTACTGATCCTTGAGCATTTGCCTTGCTTTGGAGTGTAGGAGAGCTGTTGCCCGCATGTTATATTTAAAATGGGGGTTGACTAGTTATTGGCCTGGCTGATTATCGCCTGCTATATTCAACATTTTTACAACCTTAGTTCCAAAAAAGTTGAGACATGTGTAAAATGTAAATAACAACAGAATGCAATGATTTGTAAATCATGTTTGATCTATGTTCAATTGAATGCAGTCCAAAGAGAAGATATTTTATGTTCAAACTCATAAAACTTACTATTACTATTCTTTATTAAATATGCATTTGTTCTGAACTCAATGCCTGCAACATCTCTACAAAAAAGTTGAGACAGGAGCATGTTTACCACTGTGGGACATGATGTTTTCTTTTACCAAGTAACTATTTGGGAACTGAGAATACCAATTCTTGAAGTTTTGAAAATAAAATTCTTTCCCATTCTTGCTTGATATACAGTACAGGCCAAAAGTTTGGACACACCTTCTCATTCAATGCGTTTTCTTTATTTTCATGACTATTTACATTGTAGATTCTCACTGAAGGCATCAAAACTATGAATGAACACATGTGGAGTTATGTATTTAACAAAAAAAGGTGAAATAACTGAAAACATGTTTTATATTCTAGTTTCTTCAAAATAGCCACCCTTTGCTCTGATTACTGCTTTGCACACTCTTGGCATTCTCTCCATGAGCTTCAAGAGGTAGTCACCTGAAATGGTTTCCACTTCACAGGTGTGCCTTATCAGGGTTAATTAGTGGAATTTCTTGCTTTATCAATGGGGTTGGGACCATCAGTTGTGTTGTGCAGAAGTCAGGTTAATACACAGCCGACAGCCCTATTGGACAACTGTTAAAATTCATATTATGGCAAGAACCAATCAGCTAACTAAAGAAAAACTAGTGGCCATCATTACTTTAAGAAATGAAGGTCAGTCAGTCCGGAAAATTGCAAAAACTTTAAATGTGTCCCCAAGTGGAGTCGCAAAAACCATCAAGCGCTACAATGAAACTGGCACACATGAGGACCGACCCAGGAAAGGAAGACCAAGAGTCACCTCTGCTTCTGAGGATAAGTTCATCCGAGTCACCAGCCTCAGAAATCGCAAGTTAACAGCAGCTCAGATCAGAGGCCAGATGAATGCCACACAGAGTTCTAGCAGCAGACTCATCTCTAGAACAACTGTTAAGAGGAGACTGCGCCAATCAGGCCTTCATGGTCAAATAGCCGCTAGGAAACCACTGCTAAGGAGAGGCAACAAGCAGAAGAGATTTGTTTGGGCCAAGAAACACAAGGAATGGACATTAGACCAGTGGAAATCTGTGCTTTGGTCTGATGAGTCCAAATTTGAGATCTTTGGTTCCAACCGCTGTGTCTTTGTGAGACGCAGAAAAGTAGAACGGATGGATTCCACATGCCTGGTTCCCACTGTGAAGCATGGAGGAGGAGGTGTGATGGTGTGGGGGTGTTTTGCTGGTGACACTGTTGGGGATTTATTCAAAATTGAAGGCACACTGAACCAGCATGGCTACCACAGCATCCTGCAGCGACATGCCATCCCATCCGGTTTGCGTTTAGTTGGACGATCATTTATTTTTCAACAGGACAATGACCCCAAACACACCTCCAGGCTGTGTAAGGGCTATTTGACCAAGAAGTAGAGTGATGGAGTGGTGCGGCAGATGACCTGGCCTCCACAGTCACCGGACCTGAACCCAATCGAGATGGTTTGGGGTGAGCTGGACCGCAGAGTGAAGGCAAAGGGGCCAACAAGTGCTAAACACCTCTGGGAACTCCTTCAAGACTGTTGGAAAACCATTTCAGGTGACTACCTCTTGAAGCTCATGGAGAGAATGCCAAGAGTGTGCAAAGCAGTAATCAGAGCAAAGGGTGGCTATTTTGAAGAAACTAGAATATAAAACATGTTTTCAGTTATTTCACCTTTTTTTGTTAAGTACATAACTCCACATGTGTTCATTCATAGTTTTGATGCCTTCAGTGAGAATCTACAATGTAAATAGTCATGAAAATAAAGAAAACGCATTGAATAAGAAGGTGTGTCCAAACTTTTGGCCTGTACTGTATGACTTCAACTGCTCAACAGTGCGGGTCCTCCATTGCTGCATTTTGCACTTCATAATGCACCACTAGTTTTCAGTGGGACACAGGTCTGGACTGCAGGCAGGTCAGTCTAGTCGCTGCACTCTTTTACTACAAAGCCATTCTGTTGGAACACATGCAGAATGCGTCTTGTTGTCTTGCTAGAATAAGCAGGGACGTCCCTGAAAAAGACGTTGTCTGGATGGCAGCATATGTTGCTGCAAAACCTATAATTTCAGCATTAACAAAGCCTTCACAACACATGTGCAAGTTATCCATGATGCCATGGGCACTAACACGCCCCTATATCATCACAGATGCTGGCTTTGAATGTCCATTATTTCCAAAAACAATCTGAAATGTGGTCTCTTCAGACCACAGCACACTTTTCTACTTTGTGTCAATCCATCTAAGATGAGCTCAGGCCCAGAGAAGTTGATGGCGTTTCTTGTTGTTGATAAAGGGCATACATTTGTAGATGCATTTTTAATGCAGTTCAGCTTGAGGGGTCAAAGGTCACAGGCATCCAATATTGTTTTTCAGCCTTGTCCCTTACATGCAGATATTTCTCCACATTCTCTGAATCTTTCGATGATATCATGGATTGTAGATGGTGAAATCTTTTAAATTCCTTGCAATAGTGCTTTGGGAAAGGTTGTTCTTAAACTGTTGGACTGTTTGCCCATGCAGTTTTTCACAAAGTGACCATCCTTGTTTGTAATCAACTGAGCCTTGCGAACAACTGAGCCATACCACTTAATGATACCGTCACCTGTTACCAATTAACCTGTTAACCTGACAGGTGTTTTTTGAGAATTACACAATTTTCCCAGTTTTTTGTTTCCCCTGTCCCAACTTTGTCGTCATGTTGAAGTCATCAAACTCAGGTTTACATTTTACGAAAACAATAAAGTTCATCTGTTTGAACATTAAACATTTTCTCTTTGTACTGTATACAGTTGAATATAGATCAATAAGATTATGCAAATCATTGCATTCTGTTTTTATTTACGTTTAACACAGCATCCAAACACTCATAGGATTGGGGTTGTATGATTAACAGATCTTTTAAAATCTGATTGCCAATAAACTAAGTAATAAAATGTACTGCTTTGGCTCTGATACAGCTGCCTCTTTTTCTATAGTTACCACTCTGTAGTGTCACTCAACGTCACCCCCAGCATTATCCAATTTGGTTACACGTTATGATCAATACTAAAGGCTGCTGTGCCTCTGGTGGGAAAACCAAGCCTTAGGAATGGCTCAGGGCATCTGTAGTAATATACCCTTCTTAAACTGAAAACATTTACAGACCAGACATTCATTTGCAAGAGACTCAGTGAATCTGACATCAGTCTCCTTGGGTGGAAACATTCTGTAGTGGAGCTAATATTTCAGCAGTCTGCTGAACCAGGACTTGATGATCAGGCACAACCTAACCTGCTTTGTTGGAATAACTCACATCGTGTCAAGAACAGCAGATCCCAGTATTTAATATATGGTGTATGCACAATGACAGATGGTGCAAGACATTTGCTTTGATAGAGCTGAGGATGTTAAACTACAGCTGGGAGCTTAAATTCAACACAGATGACATTGTTGAAAGCTGAGATTGCAGTTTAATAGGATTAGTTGGGATATTGAATCTAGTGAGAAGACTAAAATACAGGAAAAAAGGCATTATGCACCCACAAGGAAGCCATCTTTGTCATCTGCATAATAAGGCAGACAAACAGGCAAACTGAGGCTGTACATGTTGCATATGACATAAACTGACAAAGAGGTAAAAAACAGAAGCAACACGTGGCAAAGAAACAGTGCAGATAACTTGCTTTAATGAAAAAGATCTTCATGAATGTATCTAACACCTACAAATCTATCTTCACTAAAATAGTCTGGACTGTCAAGACCTTGTGCAGTAGGTGCTGTCTCTGCTGACCCATGACACTAGGTTGATTTGGACCACATTTACAGCAGCACTATACTTGAATGATTTTAGTGACAAGGGGAATAAAATAAACAAAAAGCTACATAAGGTCTTTATAAGGTCTGATATAGGTCTATGACAGCTGCACACAAATATACACATCCACCTACATATTCACACATATAGAGTAAAGCTGAGAAACCTGTGCAACCACGCAGTTGCTTTCCAAATCATTTTGGCTGGATTTTTTTTTTCAACTTTAACCAATCCCCTAGTGCATTTGTGCTTAAGTGTGAGAGACCATGGGATGGAGGCTACAGGATAACAGACTGGGTAGAGCGGTGCTCTACTGTCTGTCAGTCATGTTGGGGATTAGTCAGAGCGAGCCAGGCTCCCTAAGGACTACAGCCAATACCAGCAGCAACAATGGAGGGGAGATAGAGGAGACAATCTGCACACTAATGACAAAAAATCTACTACCAAGATGGTTCAATGACTACCCATCAATTTAAAGAATAACAGCAAAAATCAGGCACACCCTGTCTCAAAAAGAACACCAGTCCAAACGTTTCTTACTTCTATGCTGGGCTACTATAATTCCTTATTATCAGACTGCTTCAATAAGTGTCTGAAGACATTCCAGTTGTTTCAGAATGCTGTGGCATGTGCACTGACAGGAACTAGGAACAGAGATCATATTTCTTACATATCAGCTTCTCTGTGCTGGCTCCAAATAACCTGAAGTGGAATTTAAAT